GCCGGACGTGGTGGCCTGTGCCTGTAATCCCAGCTACTTGGGAAGCTAAAGCAGAGAACTGCTTGAACCTGGGAGGCAGAGGTTGCACAGTGAGCTGCGATCGCGCCACTGCACTCCAGCCTGGGCGACACAGTGAGACTCCATCTCAAAAAAAAAAAAAATTTTTTTTTTTAAATTTTATCTTAGTTTACAGATTGTTTCCTTCTTTCAACAAACCTTTATTGGGTACTGTGCAGGCACTCGGCAACTAAAATCTTTGAGGCGTAGTCTCCCTCAGAGAGCAAAAGTTGGTAACTTATAGTTCCCATTTTTACCATGCATCCTAAAAAATGGAAAGCTAACTTTAACATCCAAGTATAACAACTCTCCTTAAACTAGGTTTCTAGTACTCTGCTTCTTACAGTTATAATGCATGGCTCTTGACCTTTTATACTTATTTTAACAATCTTATTTTATTATAAGCCATCTCAAATCCATTTTGGAAATAGGCAAGACATAAATGAAAAAGAGTCAACACTCCTCCTAACAGCCTTCAATAGCTGATTTTGGCTAATGCTCCAACTTTCAGTGGAAGGAATATTAAGCAGAATTCGATCTCAATTTCACAAAACTACCTGCTCTTTACTTGTTGACCAAATGAACTACAAAATACTTTGAGCTTCACACTGGAGGAGAATATCTACATAATATTAAATCTAACAACTGTACTAACAATTACATTTTGCTGAATTTACTGTTATTACATTATTTTTAAAAGACTAATTATCTTCTTAAATTACCTTCTCCAATTCTCTCATTTTCTGTAATGGTATCAAAATAGTCCCAGTTTTAAGACTCAAAGCTCTCGATTTATCTTCAGTTCTTCCTTATTGTTCTACTGTATCCAATTAAGCTTCTAATCCTACTAATTCTTCCTTGACAATATCCTCTTTGTTCTCACTGCCACTTCCTTCTTCTGTCCCTTGGGTCTAGATTACCGAAATAATATCCCAATAGATTTTCTGTCTCTCCCAGTTTAATCTAACTTCCACAATCAATACCAACATTTTATTTTTATTTTATTTTTTTTTTGAGACGGAATCTTGCTCTGTTGCCCAGGCTGGAGTACAGTGCAGTGGTACAATCTCGGCTCACTTAAACATCTGCCTCCCAGGTTCAAGCAATTCTCTGCCTCAGTCTCCTGAGTAGCTGGGATTATAGGCACATGCCACCAGGCCCGGCTAATTTTTTTTTTTTTTTTTTTTTTTTAGTATGGACTAGGTTTCACCATCTTGGCCAGGCTGGTCTTGAACTCCTGACCTCGTGATCCACCTGCCGCAGCCTCCCAAAGTGCTGGTATTACAGGCGTGAGCCACCGCACCCAGCCGACTTTTTTTAAACATCATTTTCGCTTTCTTCCCCCCATACAAAATGTTACAATGGCTTCCCATTAGCTATTGAATAATAATAAAAATAGCTAACATATGTTAAGCACTGAACTGTTTGCCAGGCACTGTGATGAGAACTGTATAGCCATCTCATCATCCTCATTCTTATCATCATCTTCATATGGCTGAAGAAACTGACTCTCAGGTGATGTCTCCTGCCTAAGTTTGCACAGGTAGTAGGTTGTAGAGCTGGGGTTTGACTCATTTCTGTTTATCTCCAAAGCCTGTGGTTCTGACAACTAAGTAATTCTGCCCAAATCCTTTAAATTCAAACTCTTTGGTTATTTAGGAGCCTATAAATCTGGCCCTGTCTTACCTCTCCTGTTTTCTCTCTCACTGCTTTGGAGCACAAACTCAGTTTCAAACAAGATAGTCTGACTATCTTCAAATCTGCTGTATTTTTTCCCTCTTGTAAACTTTTGTTCATATGGTTTCTTCTGCTTGGAATACCCTTCCCTCTACTGCTTGTTCATATTTTATACATCTTTGAAGGACTAGGTCAAATATTGATTGATTGGTTGATTGATTGATTGAGACAGGGTCTCATGTTGTTGCCCACGCTGGAGTGCAGTAGCACATTTGTGGCTCACTGCAGCCTCAATCTCCCAGGCTCAAGAGATCCTCCCACTTCAGCCTCCTGAGTCCTCAGTCTACTGGCATGCATACCACATGCGCCCAGCTAATTTTTTTTTCTTTTAGTAGCGATGAGTTCTTGCTATGTTACCCAGGCTGATCTTGAACTCCCGAATTCAAGGAATCCTCCTGCCTTGGCCTCCCAAGGTGCGGGGATTACAGGCATGAGCCACAGTATGTCGCCAAATTTTATTGCTTTCACACAACTCACACCACTCTTCTATTATGGACTACCCCAAACATTTATTATTTATACTATATAGACAACAATCTTTAAACTCTTTCGATCACACATCACATCAGGAGAAAATGTTTGAGCACATGCCTCCAACATAGGTACACTGCATTTACTTATACATTTTGGACATATGCCACTGTGCTATTATATCATGTGAATCATAGAATATATATAAAGTAGAAGTATAAAAAAAGGATGAGATAAGGATGAAATGATGTTCTAGAAAATTTAGAAATTTGGCGGTGTGCAGTGGCTCACCCCTGTAATCCCAGCGCTTTGGGAGGCCGAGGCAGGTGGATCATCTGCAGTCAAGAGTTTGAGACCAGCCTGGCTAAATGGTGAAATGCCATCTCTACTAAAAATACAAAAATTAGGTGAGTGTGGTGGCAGGTGCCTGTAATCCCAACAACTCAGGAGGCTGAGGCAGGAGAATCGCTTGAACCTGGGAGGCAGAGGTTGCAGTGAGCTGAGATTGTGCCACTGTACTTCAGCCTGGGCAATAGAGTGAGACTCTGTCTCAAAAAAAAAAAAAAAATCCCAGCTACTCAGGAAGCTGAGACACGAGAATCACTTGAACCTGGGAGGTGGAAGTTGCAGTGAGCTGAGATTGCACCACTGCACTCCAGCCTGGGTGACAGAGTGAGATCCTGTCTCAAATAAATAAATAAACAAACAAATAAATAAATAACTATCTTAATGGGGGTAAAGTGGCATCTCACTGTGGTTTTGGTTTGCATTTTCATAATGACAAATGATGTTGAGCATCTTTTCAAGTACTGTTTGGTCATTTGCATGCATTCTTTTGAGAAACATTTATTCAGTCTCTTCACCCATATTTTAATTGGGTTGGTTTTTGTTGTTGCTGAGTTGTAGGAGTTCTGTATATATTTTAGATGTTTATTCCTTTTTAGATATATGATTTGCAAATATCAACTCCAATTCTCTGGTTGTCTTTTCACTCTCTTGATAGTGTCATATGATACACAAAACTTTTTTATTTTCATGAAGACCAGTTTATTTTTTTCTGTTGTTGCCTGTGCCATTGGTATCATATCCAAGAAATCATTGTGAAATCCAGTGTCATGCAGATTTAGCCTTATGTTGTCTTCAAAGAGATTTAGATTTTTAGCTTTTAAGTTAAAGTCTTTAATCCATTTCTAGTGAGTTTTTACAGACAGTAAAAGAAAAGGGTTCAACTTCATTGTTCTGCATGTAGATCTTCAGTTTTCTCAATATCATTTGTTGAAAAGATTGTCCTTTCCCCATTGAATGGTTTGATATCCCTGTTAAAAATCATTTGAACATGGCTGATGCCCTTTTCGGCCTCAGCCCGCCTACACCCAGGTGAAATTAAAAAAAAAAAAAAGAATCATTTGAACATATATGTGAGGGTTTATTTCTGTGCTCTCCATTCTGCACCACCATTGTTATATGCACTTTTTTTTGAGACAGTGTGTTGCTCTCTCATGCAGGCTGGAGTGCAGTGGTGCAGTCTCAGCTCACTGCAACCTCTGCCTTCAGGGTTCAAGCAATTCTTGTGCTTCGGCCTCCTGAGTTGCTGGGATTATAGGCATGTGCCACCACACCTGGCTCATTCTGTATTTTTGGCGGAGATGGTATTTCACCATGTTGGACAGGCTGGTCTCGAACTTTCAACCTAAGATGATCCGCCCCACCTCGGCCTCACAAAGTGCTAGGTATGCATCTGTTCTTATGCCAGAACTACACTGTTTTGATTATGAAGTTTTGTAGGAAGTTTTGAAATCAGGAAGTATGAGTCTTCCAGATTTGTTCTTCTTTTCAAAGATTGTTTTGGCTATTTGGGGTCCTTTGATATTCCATATGAATTTTAAGATGGGTTTTTCTGTTTCTGTAAAAAAATGTGATTGGGACTTCAGTAAGGGCCGCATTGCATCTGTAGATCACTTTGGGCAGAACTGTCATCTAAATATTAAGTGTCACAATCCACGAACATGGATGTCTTTCTACGGGTGGATTATTTTTAAAAAACTACTTATGTGAAAATGATACTTGCATATTAATAAAAAGTCAAATAATGTAGTAATATACAAAGGAAGAAAGAACACATTACTCCAGATCTTACTACTCATTGATAACCGTAGTTATCAATGGTGGACATCTTTCTGAGCACCTCTCTTAGAATTTTACATATATAGGATCCATTTGTCTCCTATTTAATATGTAATACTTGTTTTTTGATGTCAATGACTGGATTTAAATTATGTTTGTCTCATCATTTACTTAAGCAAGCTCATCCTGATAGACATTTGTTGTCTGTGTACTGTGAATGATTTTTATGAATATCATAATATTAATGGGCATCTATAGCTGTTGTGGACCAGTTTCTTCTCTGTCCTAGTAGGCCTTTAAAAAGTTCAGAGAAAACTGTATAATTTTGAATGCTTAATGTTTTTGCTTTTGAATAAAGAAAGGTACAAAGTTTTTCATCTAATCAGTTCTGCATGTCTGATGTACTGTAATGCATAAGTAATAGATCTTTGGTGTGATAATTTGTGAAGCAATAAAGGGTAGAGAACCAGATACTTGTTCAGAGATTTGTTTATTCTTTAGTTCTTCTATAGCCCAGTGAATAAAAATAATGGTGCATCCAAATGAAATCAAATTTTATAAAACCATAGGAACTTGGTATTCAGTTTATTCTCATTTTCCTACCTTTACAGGAAGAAGCCATGGATTTAATAAATAGAGAAACAATGTATGAATGGTGAGTACTGTACTTTGAATTACTATTCTGATAATTTGTATATTTAATTATATCTTTTCTTTCAGACAGGCAAACTGCAATTTTGATTTCTTTTGTAGGAAGATACAAACTGAAATACAGATAAGTCGATCTTGGGAAGAAAGCTTGAAACTGGTATGGTATTATAATTTCAGTTTTGTAGAAAATTTCAAATTTTTATTGACTTTCAGTGTTGGCCTATCTAGTTTTGTTGTAATATCTAGAAATCTAAGCTCTAGTTTGAAACAAAAATTGTATCTGCTGCATAAATAATTTTGGTTGTTATTTTTAATTTTTTTTTTTTTTTTTTTTTTTTGAGACAAGGTCTCACTATGTTGTCCAGGCTGGTCTTGAACTCCTGAGCTCAAGGGATTCTCCTGCCTCAGCCTTCCAAAATGCTAGGATTATAGGGTTGAGCCATTGGGCCTAGCCCTTGATTACTCTTAAGAAATGCTTTATGATTTACTCATAAAAATAGCTTATCATTGTTTGAAAGTGGGGTTCAAAGTAAACAGTTTTGTGGAACAAAACCATAGCTGTTGTGGACCAGTTTCTTCTCTGTCCCAGCAGGCCTAAAAAAAGTTCAGTCGCACTAGCTAAAGTGCTTAGGATAACAACACAATAAATGATTTCACTCCCTTCTCCATAGTTTATGAACTATATATTACAGTCTTAAACTATAGACAATAGACTTACTAGAAAAATATTGCATTTTTTATGCCTGTGTATTAGTCCGTTCTCACATTGCTATAAGGAAATACCCAAGACTGGGTAATGTATAAAAGAAAGAGGTTTAATTGACTCACAGTTCTGCATGGCTGGGGAGGCCTCAGGAAACTTACAATTATGGCAGAAGAAGGCACCTCTTCACAGGGTGGCATGAGAGAAAATGAGTGCCAGCAGGGGAAATGCCAGATGCTTATAAAGCCATCAGATCTTGTGAGAACTCACTCACTGTCATGAAAACAGCATTGGGGAATTCACACCCATGATTCAGTTACCTCCCACTAGGTCCTTCCCGCTACATGTGGGGATTATGGGGATTATGATTCAAGATGAGATTTGGGTGGGGACACAGCCAAGCCATATCAGCCTGTAACATATTCTCCCACTAACATTTTAATATAAAACTTTTAATTTAAACATTCTTAGAATTTAGTTTCATCTCTTGTTAATATTTTTAAATGTCTGGGTACACGTTGTGGTTACTGATGATATTTAGTGTTCTTTTCCATGGATATCCCAGATAGTGACAAAACAATAACTGAACTGAAATTTGAATAGGAGAGATTCTGACTAATGTCAATCTTCAGATATGGAAGTTATTCGATACAGAAATGGGTCATCAACAGAAGCAATGGCATCTTATTTTCCTTTGCACTCTGAGTACCTTACATGAGCAGTTATCCCTGATTTTGGAGTAGGTCTGGGAGAATGAGTTGATAATCTCTGGAGCCTGTCACTTTTCATGTTTTGGTGCTAATACAATTGATCAATACTGCTGGAGTCCTTTAACTGGCCCAATTCTAATTACTTTAGGTATTGGCATGGATGAGTAAGAGAATCTATGAGTGTGTTAGGAAGAGGAAGGCCACATGTAATACACACTTGTCTTGTTTTGGGAAGAAAAGGGCAGAATTTAAAATCCTGAATTATGAAGCACTGATTTTTGTCTATATAAAATCTAGAGATAGTTTTCATAAATGTAGTTATTCCTGCTGTCTCATTTTCATCTTAGTTCTAGCCAAAACCTTTTTGGTCCTTTCCTGGACGTACCATTAGAGTTTTCAAAAACAAAGCACACGTCAAAGCCAAAGAGCTTAAATTTAGGATTTGTGTTTATAGTATTGAGTACTCACATTCTAGATCTTTCTGGCATGCAGGGTAGCCCCTCAATCACCAAATAGCTGTTGTCCCCAAAAGGCAAAGGGCACCTTTGCTTATTGAAGTGAATCTTGGGTTCCCTGATTTCTTTAGGATGGTGAGAGCTCTTCACCATGGTGCAGCCAGTAGTAAGGACTCACTTCCCTGTGCAACAGGTATCTCAAGTATTTGATTAGTAAGCAATTGGTGCTACAATTGTACACTTCTTTCTGCTTACAGAGTGACAGCAGCTCGCAGAAATCATCCTCTCCAAAGTGCATTGATTTAACTCCAGTATCCTCAATGGCTTCTTCCATCAAGAGGACTGGGAAGGTAAGAAAGGAGTACCTAAAAGTCTATGTCCCTTGAAATATTTAGGAAATATTTAGGAACATTAATGGTCACTCACTCAAATCTTTTGGGGGGTATATTTTGCCACAGTGTATCTGATTTTAACTAACAGTTTTTCATTTCTTCAAGTATTACTTATATATAATAAAATTCACCAACTTTAAAGTATAGGGTTGATTAATATTGGTAGTTGTGTACAATTCTGTAACCACAACCATAATCAAGATATCGTAAAGTTCTCACACTCAATACAATTTCCTCATGATCTTTTGTACCCTAGTCTCCCTCTCCATCATCCCTGCCCCTTCTAGGAAACCAATGATTTGCTTTATGAAAAGAGAGGCAGTTTTAAAACCTCTGTTCCTATTTGATTTTAGCAATTTTTTTCTCCATCATTACAAACTTCCGTGAATTGCACTTGTTCGCCTTCAAGTCCTGCTCCCAGTCCTATGCAACAATACATCATGTAAGTTTATGTTGTATGAAAATACCAAATTGTTTATAAAATAAGAATTAATTATAGAAACTTGAAAGAAATTATAGCTCCAAGTTTTGTGCCAAGGAAGTGACTTTTTTTTTTTTTTTTTTTGAGAAGGAGTCTTGCTCTGTTGCCAGGCTGGAATACAGTGGCTCAATCTTGACTCACTGCAACCTCCGCCTCCCAGGTTCAAGCAATTCCCCTGCCTCAGCGTCCCAAATAGCTGATAGTACAGGCCCGGGCCACCACACCTGGCTAATTTTTTGTATTTTAGTAGAGATGGGGTTTCACCATGTTGGCCAAGATGGTTTCCATCTCATGACCTCGTGATCCGCCCACCTCGTCCTCGCAAAGTGTTGGCATTACAGGTGTGAGCCACCGTGCCCAGCCAGAAGTGACTTCTTTTCAGTGACATTAAAATGTCATTGTTTCAGTTTATCATTTTGTGTATCAAAAAAGTTAGGTGACTAAGAACATGTGAATAATTTAATAATTCCTTCACCCTGCTTATACATAATCTTTCTCTGACCAAGTTTGTTAATAAGGATCAGAGCTATCTCTAGAACTTTAAACAACTTTATCCATGATTTTCACCTTGATTCAAGGCAAGTCCCAGCCAGGACTGTAGGTTTTTGTAGACTGTAGGATTCAAAATCCTGAATCCCTGTGAATTAGAAGATAGTTTGCTCCTACGGCATTCCTGTTTTTACTCATACGTAAAGAAAAGCAGTAAAATGATGTACTACCATGTCCTATACAGAGTCCTGTTTTTATATATGTCCTTAGATCTGTTATAATGAAATAGTCATTGCTGATTTTGTTAAAAATATTTCTTATAATGATCATGATGATTTTATTTTAGAAGAAGTCAAAATCCTACCAACATTCTTAGACCAAGTATCCTTGGATCATTAAAAAGAAAAGGTACTTTTATATATGAGCAGAAATAAATATAACTTTAAATTATTTTATAAAATATTGAAAATCAACTGTTATATAAGAATTTATTTTTAAAGGCTTTATTTATTTAAAATATATTTGATAAGTTATTAGAGGCCTTTCATTTTATGCAAGTAGAAATATGTATAAAGATATTTTGAAAACTCTAAAGTGCTATATAAATGTGAATTGAGAAATTTAATTCCAATTTTCTTGGTTATTAAGATTTTCAATATAATTCACCAAGCTAGCTATCTTCATTACTTTCTAAAACAAAGTAGAGAATAAATGAATGAATGAACAAATAGAGTGAGTCAGTCAAGTATTTTGCTGAATGTCAACCCCTGTCTCACTGCCACACACTCATTGATATAATATGAATAAGTTGACACAAATTAGATCCACCGTACAACACTAAAAATATATATGAAGGTGTATGTTCTTTCATTAGTTTTTTTTTTTTTTTTTGGGTTTTTTTTTTTTTTTTTTTGGTTTTTTTTTTTTTTTTTTTTTTTTTTTGTGAGGTGAAGTCTTGCTCTGTTGCCCAGGCTGGAGTACAGTGGCGTGATCTCGGCTCCCTGCAACCTCTGCCTCCCAGATTCAAGTGATTCTCCTGCCTCAGCCTCCTAAGTAGCTGGGATTACAGGAGCCCACCACTGCGCCCAGCTAATTTTTGTATTTTTAGTAGAGATGCGATTTTACCATCTTGGCCAGGTGGATCTCGAACTCCTGACCTCGTGACCCACCCTCCTCAACCTCCCAAAGTGCTGGGATTACAGGCGTGAGCCACCACACCCCATGATGTTTAGTTTATGTATGGGAGTTATTTTTGGTTACATATATGGAAAGCGACCCACCTACTCAGTAATAAAAGGGAAGTGGAAAGAACAGAAGTGTTTTTTAAAAACTCCTGCAATCCTGGATCCCGCTTCTCAATGGTACCTCAGTAAATTATCCTCTTTTGCCTTTTTCTTTGTTTTGTTTTGTTTTTACTTGAGATAGAGTCTTGCTCTTTCACCCAGGCTGGAGAAAAGTGGCACAATCTTGGCTCACTGCAACCTCCTCCTCCTGGGTTCAAGGGATTCTCCTGCCTCAGCCTCCTGAGTAGCTGTAGTTACAGGTGCTCGTCACTATGCCTGGCTAATTTTTTTGTATTTTTAGTAGAGACTGGGTTTCACCATTTTAGCTGGGCTGGTCTCAAACTCCTGACCTCTTATAATCCGCCAACTTCTGTCTCCCAAAGTGCTGGGATTACAGGTATGAGCCAGTTCTCACTCTTCTTCCTTTTTAAGTACCACTATTGAATTTGTATATTTAGTACAATGTTTAATTACAATGGGGAAAAGAAATGGGTGAATAGGAAAGAAGATTAAACTTAAAAATGTGTGTTGTGAAAAATGTATTAAGATAAGAAAGAGGAGGAAGAAGAATAAGAAGAAAAAAGATACTGAATTATGCTTTAATGCTCTTTGTGTATTTTGGATTAATTAATGTCAGTCTTCCTAACAACATACCTAACTCAGCATGTACTTTTTGTATTCTAAGATTAAGGGCTAAATTCTGGAAAACACTCTTTTCCAAAGTAATAAGCACATTGTTTTATGAAGATGCTTCAGTTACTAAGCTTACGGTTTTTTGTTTTTTTTTTTTTTTTGCCTGTGCTGTGAAGTTTGGCCTAGCGTTGAAAAAATATTCAAATATTCAAATTAGCAGCTTAAGAGCTGTTAGAAGTCGAGGGTCAATTGAGTATTTAAAATAAAGTACACTTAAATTGAAGAATGTTTCACCAAAATAAAACATTTTTCCTTTTGAGACACATATACATAAAATATGTTATTACATGAAAACTATCTGGAATTTTCTTAGAATTTTTGATTTAAAAATGAGTTTTACAGATCAATTTTGACATAAAAGACGTAGTTTCTAAACAAATATACAAAAAAAAAAAAAAAAGATGGGAAAAAATACAAAAGATGTAGCTTCTGCCTAGTGTCTTCGGAGATGTGACCTGTATCACACTTTGCTTTTAGGTGCTCTGAAAGATGACTGCCATAGTTCTTTGAGATGTCCCTAAGGGAACTCCAAACTGAATTATGAATATACTATCTACTCCATATTTTAAGTCATAGCCCACCCTCTCAAGCATGCCCTATGCAAATGTACTGAAAATTCATTTGGTCATTTTTGGCTAGATACAATAACAGATAAACATAAATGAAATTTATTCATATATTTTGGAATATGCATATTCATTTGGGAAACAATAAATTATGTACTATTCAGACCCCATTAATACAAATGAAATGTGGGAGAAAGATAGCATAAAAATAAAAGAGAGGTCCTGAGGCAGGGGTCAGAGGACCTAAAAAGAATGAGGGTTCTGTGAAGTGAAGGAGAGTATGAGATCAAGATTAGAGTCTCCAAAGTCACATTTTATAGTAAGAAGCAGCAGTTACTTCCATTAGGAATAAGCGAGAGCATGGACTGGGTATGGTGGCTCACGCCTGTAATCCCAGCACTTTGGGAGGCCAAGGTGGATGGATCACTTGAGGTCAGGAGTTCAAGAGCAACCTGACCAACATGGCAAAACCCTGTCCCTACTAAAAATACAAAAATTAGCCAAGCATGGTGGTACGTGGCTGTAATCCCAGCTACTCAGGAGGCTGAGGCAGGAGAATTGCTTGAACCCAAGAGGCGGAGGTTGAAGTTAGCTGAGATCACACCACTGCACCCCAGCCTAGACAATAGAGTAAGACTCCATCTAAAAAAAAAAAAAAGAAAAGTAATAAGCAAGAGCAAATAAGCCTTCATGTTGGAATACCACAGAAATTGGGCACCTATAAATATCATTTGAGGCTGGGCGCAGTGGTTCGCGCCTGTAATTCCAGCACTGTGGGAGGCCGAGGTGGGCGGCTCGCCTGAGGTCAGGAGTTCCAGACCAGCTTGGCCAATGTGGTGAAACCCCGTCTGTACTAAAAATACAAAAAATTAGCTGGGCGTGGTGGTGGGCGCCTGTAATCCCAGCTACTCAGGAGGCTGAGGCAGGAGAATCGCTTGAACTCGGGAGATGGAGGTTGCAGTGAGCTGAGATTGTGCCATTGCACTCCAGTCTGGGCGACAGAGCAAAACTTTGTCTCAAAAAAAAAAAAAATCATTTGATAAGTAATGCTGGTTTTAGCAAAGAAAGATCTAATTTTCTTTTATGAGGAATTTGTTTTGATTTGTCATGTTTTCAATTTTAAATCAAAAAAGGAGAACTGAGTAGTTTTTCTATGGTGGCATAAGTGTAATCTGGCAAGGCATGGGATGCCAGACTTCTTTTGAACTTTGAGTCATGATTACACTTCTGTAGAAGGTCTATGCAATATCTTGATGGTGACCTTAGTGTTTTCTCATTCAAATAGAAGTTACGGGTTTGAATGTCAGTTTTGCTCAGGTCCAGAAATAGTTACTATATGAATGTGAAACATTGTGCAGGTTTTTATCTTTTTTTTTTAATTTAGACCTGAATTGTATTATAACCCAATTTATATATTTTTTAATTGCATTTTAGGTTTTGTGCAGGTTTTAACACTTACTTCAAGGCAAACGTTACACAAATGCAGTTTTTCTTGAGATTAGTTGTTCCTCCTTAATCTTTAAAGATCCACTTATTTTGTTCATTGTGTGCTGTAAAAGGCCATATCTATTTAGTTCATTGTGTACGGTTAGCAAAATAAAGATAGCAACCTAAAGTTTTAAAATAAGGAATGAGATTAAACTTAAACAGCCTTACTACATAGCTATATAAAATCATCTTGCAGGGCTGGGCACAGTGGCTCACGCCTGCTATCTCAGGATTTTGGGAGGCCGAGGTGGGTGATCACCTGAGGTCAAGAGTTCAAGACCAGCCTGGTCAACATGTTGAAATCCCCATCTCTACTAAAAATGCAAAAATTAACCGGATGTGGTAATGTGTGCCCATAATCCCAGCTACTCAGGAGGCTGAGACAGGAGAATTCCTTGAACCCGGGAGGTGGAGGTTGCAGTGAACTGAGATTTCGTCACTGCACTCCAGCCTGGAAGACAGAGTGACTCCTTCTCAAAATGATAATAATAATAATAATAATAATAAAACAGTAAAATACAATAATCTTGTAGAATTTAGTTAATAATATAAGAAAATTATAACCAGGCCAGGCACGGTGGCTCATGCCTATAAACCCAGCACTTTGGGAGGCCGAGGTGGGCAGATTGCCTGAGGTCAGGAGTTCAAGACCAGTCTGACCACCATGGTGAAACCCCGTCTCTACTAAAAATACAAAATAAATTAGCTGGGCATGGTGACAAGTGCCTGTAATCCCAGCTACTCCGGAGGCTGAGGCAGGGGAATTGCTTGAACCAGGGAGGTCAAGGTTGCAGTGAGCTGAAATTGTGCCACTGCACTCCCGCCTGGGTGAAGACTCCACCTCGGAAAAAAAAAAGAAAAGAAAATTATAATCATTAAAAACAAAAAGTAGATTTAAAAACATTATATATGGGACAAACCTAATTTTAAAAAATTGTGTATATAACATATTCAAAAAGTACTGAAGAATGGTTATGCCTGGATAATGGTTACTTAAAATTATTTACTTTGTGCTTTTCTGTATTTTATAAATTAATTGCAGTGAACAAGCATTACTTTTGCAATTAAAAATCATAACATACATGTTAAATAAAACATATCTACCTTGATCTGCTATATTGTCATAGGTGAAACGGCATTTCAATATCAACCAAAGAAGATTTTCCAAGGCACAACCAACATGCCTTTTTCTGATACTTCCCAGCTATCAGAAAATAATGTGTGGTAAGTATTAAAATGAGATTTTAAACATTAATTGACCATTTTTACTTGTTTTTTAAGTCTACTTTGATTATTGTATGTATTCAGAAGTATGGTACATTATTATTATTTTCTTTATTATTTTTTTGAGATAGAGTCTCACTCTGTTGCTCAGGCTGGAGTGAAGTGGCGTGATCTTGGCTCACCACAACCTCTGCCTCCTGGGTTCAAGCTATTCTCCTGCCTCAGCCTCCCAAGTAGCTGGGACTACAGGTGCATGCCACCATGCCCGGCTAATTATTTTGCATTTTTAGTAGAGACGGGGTTTCACTATGTTGGCCAGGCTGGTCTCGATCTCCTGACCTCATGATCCGCCTGCCTCGGCCTCCCAGAGTGCTGGGATTACAGGCATGAGCCACCAAGCCCAGCCCATTATTAACTATTCTTAGAAGTTTTAAAACTGATATTCCAAATGGATACTATAAACCTGAGTTCTTTTCTTTTTTTTTCTTTTCTTTTTTCTTTTTCTGAGAAAAGATCTCATTCTGTCTCTCAGGCTGGGAGTGCAGTGGCACAATCTTGGCTCACTGTAACCTCTGCCTCCCAGGCTCAAGCAGTCCTCCCACCTCCGCCCCTGAGTAGCTGGGACCACAGGTGTGCACCACCATGCCTGGCTAATTTTTGTATTTTTTTTTTTTTTTTTTTTGTAGAAACGGGGTTTTGCCGCCGGGCGCGGTGGCTTACGCCTGTAATCCCAGCACTTCGGGAGGCCGAGGCGGGTGGATCACGAAGTCAAAAGATCGAGACCATCCTGGTCAACATGGTGAAACCCCGTCTCTACTAAAATACAAAAAAGTAGCTGGGCATGGTGGCATGTGCCTGTACTCCCAGCTACTCAGGAGGCTGAGGCAGGAGAATTGCCTGAACCCAGTAGGCGGAGGCTGCAGTGAGCCGAGATCGCGCCATTGCACTCCAGCCTGGGTAACAAGAGCGAAACTCCGTCTCAAAAAAAAAAAAAAAAAAAAAAAGAAATGGGGTTTTGCCATGTTGCCCAGGCTGTTCTCAGACTTTTGAGCTCAAGCAATCTACCCACCTTGGCCTCCTAAAGTGCTGGGATTATAGGCGTGAGTCACAGCACCTGGCAGAGGTTTTTTCTCATAAGGTGTGTGTGACACTAATATATGGTGGATACATTTTTAGAAGTGAGATTTTGGCATTAGATGAAGAGATATTAAAGAAATACATAGAAAGGCATCCTTGGAAAAAGGCATCTTCTGCTCATCTTTTCTTCTTGGATTTTTGTCTATTTTGTTGCGTTGAGAGTATTAATTGAAATGCACGTCCAAGAAAGTATGTTTTAATGATAAAAATGGGAAATACCGGAATGGATTTCTTTTTTTCTTTTCTTTTTTCTTTTTTTCTCAGTCACCCAGGCTGGAGAGCAGAGGGGAGTTCTTGGCTCACTGCAACCTCCACCTCCCGGGTTCAAGCGATTCTCTTGCCTCAACTTCCCAAGTAGCTCAGACTACAGGCACGAGCCACCATGCCTGGCTAATTTTTGTATTTTTAGTAGAGACCGGGTTTCACCATATTGGTCAGGTTGGTCTTGAACTCCTGACCTCATGATCTGCCCGCCTCAGCCTCTCAAAGTGCTGGAATTACAGGAGTGAGCCACAGTACCTGGCCATAGATTTCTATTTATTGTTATTGGTGGTTTCTTATACAACTCTTACAAAACTTCATTTACGAGAAGTGCCAGTTCTTGGTCATGTATTTTGCACTCATATGTAGACAAAGCAGAGTACACAGAGAGATCTCTTGAGTTCTGTTATCAATGAGTGGCATTTTCTTCTTCTAGTCTACTTCCAGCTACTTTTGATGGAAACAACAGCAACGCTGGATCCTCAGGTAATTCGTCAGCTAAAATTAGCACGGTCACAAACTCTTCTGTGTCACCTTCTTATACTGGTTCTCATTTGTTCTAGAAGAGGAACTTTCAACTAAATGATTCACCCATCTCAAGACTTTGAACCAATGGAGAAACACACACATCAGGCAAATCAAGTCAAAGCAACAAGAATTGTACTGTAACATAAACTGTCTCCTGTTTGTCTTTTTTCTTCAATTTCTTAAAATTCTATTTATCTACAGAACTTGCATGTATCCAATGTAATAATATTTTCAAAGATGTTTTCCAAGTAAGAATTATGTTAAGACAGAAGCATAGATTGTTAAGCTACTAATGTCTTGAAATGCTGTACCTTGACTTTTTAAAATAATCTGAAGTATAATCCTAATAAAATATAATTGTTCAATTAAGAAAGTAAAATGATTTTTGACAATTATGTACTTACTGGTCCATGCTAGTCTTTAATCCTATTTTCAGTAACTACTAGCTTCCAGTTGGTAAAGAAAAGTCACCTATCGAAGGCAATTTTTACAACTAAGTTAGTTATACCATACTTATCCAAGGATTGCTTATTTTGCACATGAATCTTTAGATGTTCAATTTGTTGGGAAGCAGTAGGTAGGAGAAGAGCAAGATGAATTAAAGTTAATTGAATAGAAAGAAAATAATATGTAATTGGGACTTCACTCAATTTGTACTCAACCTGATTAACCCTGATTAATTTTGTATTCTAATTAAGTCTTGAAAAATGTTGATATATTGTAGTCTTTTACATTTTTATCAATTACGTTTTATTCATCATCATGACTACTGATTTGATTAAATACAGACTCAATATGTTAGGGCTTTTCTGCCAAAATCATGTGCCTCCAATTGTTCCCTAAGGGCTATAAATGTTTGTTTAAACCCTAATTTTCTATTCAAAAGTCTTACGGGTTTTTTTTTTTTAAAATAGGAAAAATTGTGTCTTAAAAATTTTAAATTTAAAATAAGTGCTTTAAGTAATTGGTGGTAGTATTAGCATTTTGAAAAACAGAAACTTATTCTTATGAAATGAAGCTGAGAATGGTTTAAATTGCCTCAGCTAATAAGATAGGAACAGTTACCTAATATATGTATAAAAGACTTTTTTCTTTTAATCGGAAAGATTCAGACTGATAGAAATCCGGGCCGGGTGCGGTGGCTCAAGCCTGTAATCCCAGCACTTTGGGAGGCCGAGGCGGGTGGATCACGAGGTCGAGAGATCGAGACCATCCTGGTCAACCTGGTGAAACCCCGTCTCTACTAAAAATACAAAAAATTAGCTGGGCATGGTGGCGCGTGCCTGTCATCCCAGCTACTCAGGAGGCTGAGGCAGGAGAATTGCCTGAACTCGGAGGCGGAGGTTGCAGTGAGCCGAGTTCGCGCCATTGCACTCCAGCCTGGGTAACAAGAGTGAAACTCTGTCTCAAAAAAAAAAAAAAAAAAAAAAAAAATCCGATGTGGGTATGCTGCCATATGGGAAAAACACTGTGGCACTAACAATTTTTTGACAGTGACCCTGATGGAACTGATCAGAATTGATATATAAGTGGGAGAAGAGGCTATTCAATTATAAATAGATGAAACCAAGTATTTATGAAATGACTAGGAGCATGATGGTCTCTTGAAACTGGGACAGGATTCTATAAATTGGCTAAGAACAAGTAAACTATAAATATTGCATTGTTACTTGCTTCTTTACCTGCCAGACCTTTAGTGGACCAATTGTGGGCCCCTCATAGAATGAGGTGTGGTTGTGGTGATGTTTCTTGCTGAAACTGTAGATCACTGACAGACAAAGGTCCACATGTACTATTCTTACCTTAGCCAAAGAGAGTTTCACAGAATATTCAAGTTCAAAGACTAAGGATGGAGAAAGTAACCAATGGGTGTTAGATTACTACTCAGTTGTATAAGGAACTTTTATCAGCAAATCTTGGTAATCTTGACTATCTCAATATACTTTTCTCAACTCAGACAATTCCTTTCCTTCTATTCAGCTGCTTTTTTTTTTTTTTTTTTTTTTTTTTTCCTGAGACAGAGTCTTGCTCTTTGCCCAGGCTGGAGTGCAGTGCAGTGACGTGATATCGGCTCACTGCAACCTCTGCCTCCCAGGTTCAAGCAATTATCCTGCTTCGAACTCCCAAGTAGCTGAGATTACAGGTGCATGCTACCATGCCTGGCTAATTTTTGTATTTTTAGTAGAGATGGGGTTTAACCATGTTGCTCAAGCTGGTCTCAAACTCCTGGCCTTAGGTGATCCACCTGCCTCGGCCTCCCAAAGTACTGAGATTACAGGGATGAGCCACCCAACCCAGTTCTATTCAGTTCGTTTTTATTGATTTAGCCGTACACTAGGATGCCACAACTCACTATAATATGCTCAGACGCAAGGGTTCTGTAGTTGGTTCTCCACTCTGTCTGTTGCCTTTTGAGTTTGTCTATTGGGAGGATCCACTTCTAAAGTGATTTTCCATTTATTGTTGATTTTAAGACCAAAATGATTGTAACTTTTACTTGCTATTCTGTGTTTGATTTTTTAAAAATTATAGTAAGGTGGCTGGGCACGGTGACTCATGTCTGTAATCCCAGCACTTTGGGAGGCCGAGGTGGGCAGATAACCTGACGTCAGAAGTTTGAGACCAGCCTGGCCAACACGGTGAAATCCCTTCTCTTCTAAAAATGAAAGGTTCTAGCCAGTCATGGTGGCAGGCAACCGTAATCTCTGTTACTCTGGAGGCTTAGGCAGGACAGTCACTAAAACCTGGGAGGTAGAGGTTGCAGTGAGCTGAGATCACACCACTGCACTCTAGCCTGGGTAACAGCAAGACTCTGTCTCAAAGAAGAGAAAAATATGGTAAGGCTCTATTTTGTCTTCCTAAACATGCCAAAGAATTATCATATCAGTTTTCTATAGTGAAGGACATGTATTAGTTTTCCAGGGCTGCCATAACAAAGCATCACAAACTGGGTGGCTTAAGCAATGGAAATGTATTGTTTCACAGTTCTGGAGGCTACCAATACAAGATCAAGGAGTCAGCTGGGTTGGTTCCCTCAGGAAGCTCCGAAGGACAATCCGTTTGGTGGTTGCTGGCAATCCTTGGCTTACAGATACATCACTCTAATCTCTGCCTGTGCCATCACATGGGATTCTCTCTGTGTCCTGTGTCCTCTTATGGCCTTCTTATAAAGATAACCAGTCACTGGATTTAGGGCCAACCCTAATCCAATATGAATGTATCTTAATTCGATTCTATCTGCAAAGACCCTATTTCCAGGTCAAATTCACAGGACCTAGGGTTTAGAATTTCAAGATATCTTCTTGAGGACACAATTTAACACACAACGGTATACTTTTAGAATTTTGATTTTGCTTGTTTTATCTTTCCTAAATTAGTTTTTTAAAATTGTCTATCCTGTAACTCGTCTTTTTTTTTGGGGGGGGGAGGCGGGGAACGGAGTCTCGCTCTGTCATCCAGGCCGGAGTGAAGTGGGGAGATCTTGGCTCACTGCAACTTCCACCTTCTGGGTTCAAGCAATTCTCCTGCCCACAGCCTCCTCCTCAGTAGCTGGGATTACAGGCATGTACCACCATGCCCAGCTAATTTTTTGCATTTTTAGTAGAGACAGGGTTTCACCATGTTGGTCGGGCTGGTTTCAAACCCCTAACCTCGTGATCCACCTGCCTTGGCCTCCCAAAGTGCTGGGATTACAGGCATGAGCCACCACACCTGGCTAACTCGTCTTAAAAATGTGAGAACAAGAGGCAACTATAAAGCATCATTATAAAGTCTCAAATATGTGTTCAATCAAGTATTCCTATTTTACTTACAATGTTATGAAAGAGCAATGCTCCAAATTTACCCTAATGATTCACTGAGATTCAACATGAAAACTCACTGTAATAATAAGTTGTGTTGTCAGATCAGGAAAGAATCTATATGGTTTTTAAAATTTATAATTACTAAATCAACCAATAACACTTAATGATTTTAAGTATATTCAATAAATACCTAATGAATACTTTCTGTGACAGGAAACTTTAGTAAAACTTGTATGACATATGAGGATGAGAGGTACCTTATCTGTCTTCAAGCAGAATAACTAAGTACAAAAATAATGATACAAGATAGTCTATGATAATATGACTATAGATGCACATAAGAAAGGACACTTAGGCCGGGCGCGGTGGCTCAAGCCTGTAACCCCAGCACTTTGGGAGGCCGAGACGGGTGGATCACGAGGTCAAGAGATCGAGACCAACGTGGTCAACATGGTGAAACCCCGTCTCTACTAAAAATACAAAAAATTAGCTGGGCATGGTGGCGCATGCCTGTAATCCCAGCTACTCAGGAGGCTGAGGCAGGAGAATTGCCTGAACCCAGGAGGCGGAGGTTGCGGTGAGCCGAGATCGCGCCATTGCACTCCTGGGTAACAAGAGCGAAACTCCGTCTAAAAAAAAAAAAAAGGACACTTTTACTATAAAATAAGATATAAAGATAATACTGAGATCATGTGATCTTAGTATTTAGGGATTTTAGAAGTATTTGAAATAATTCCAAACAGATTGTTTTTTAACCTTAGTTTGCAATCTTGAAAGAATGAACTGACTCTGTCACAAGACAGTTTATTCTATTGTTGGACAGCTCTCATATTTAGAAATCTCTTACATTAAAAGGGGGAGATGGGTGTAGAGTTTGTATTTAGGTGGCCTGTTTCATTGGCTCTTTAGAATTGAGGCAAATCAAATGAACTATTAAAAGCACACGAGTTAAGTTTCTAATTCTGCATTAATCTTTGTCCCTGCTCCTTGAATTATTAGTACTCCCACTACAGGATATATTTAATCTCATCTCCTAAATGAATTTTTAAAATTCACCTAGGAGCAACCATATGTAAATATCCATGATGAAAATGCATGTATGATACTTCAGATATGTGGGGGAAACTAATTACAATTTGCCTAGAGTGTTTTTAAATATTTTAGATCTTAAAAGTTGAGCTTGAAAAAATCTATCATATAGGTAGACTTCACTGTCAGATAGTTAAAATTGTGCATTTAGAAAAGTTCAGGGAACCATAAGTACTCCAGCAAATATGTAATTTTGTTTTCCTGAAATTCCATAATGTCTCACAGACCTCTTACAATGTGGTTCTTAACTCAAGGGTAAATAAGATTGATTTCCGCAAGTGTCTATAAGGTATAGGAGGAGAGAATCATACATCATATAGGAATCTTGGAAACTTGCTCCACCCCCTTATTAAGGGAGACTTGATGACCATGGTCTCTCGGAAAAAATGCATTAAATGAATGCAGTTATTACCTGAATCCTATAAATTGACCAACAGCTACATATGTGCAACTGGAGATTTCTGTGGCTTTACTGACAGCAAAGTAAATCAGTAACATAAATGCTCACGTCAGCCTTTTCGGAAAGTGACCAAACTACATTGGTAGTAAGTACAGGAGTCGGGAGACTAGCTATGTGAGTCTTTGGGCAGGTCACGTCACCTCTCTGGGCTTCAGGAATTCAAGCTGTAAGAGATCAGACTAGTTATTTGTGAGGTCCCTTCTGCCTCCTAAAATTTTATGGATTCTGTGACAATATCTGCCTTCATCTTTGCTGGCATGACAGCAAAAGTC